TGAAATACTAGAAATAAGAAACACATTCCTAGATAACTTTGGATCAAAAGGAATTAGGAAGGAAATTACAAACTATCTAAAAGAACTTATTTAGTTCAGGATTAGCAATTTGTATTTTTCTGGGAAAGCGTCCCTATCCACTAGGTTTTCTTTGCCTCTTTTTTTTTGTTTTTCGTTTTTTTTGCCTTAGAGTTAGTGTTCTGATATCTGGTGAGACCTGTTGATCTCACTGTTATTCTTTTTCATATATTTTCTTAGCTACTAACCAGCATTTATTCTTCCAAATAATTCAGTCATTTAAAAATGTAAAGAAAAAGCAAAAACCTTGTTTGAGCAATCTAATTATAATTGCATTAGATTTATGTGTTATTTTTAGAAAAAATTGATAGGTTATTGATAGTAAATCTTTCCAAGCAGGAACCTATTTGCATTTGCATTTCCATTTGTTATTTTAATGAGATTTTATAGTTTTTATCATATAGATTTGTCCATTTCTTATTTAACTATATTTCTAAATATTATATAATTTGTAATTTCCCATTTCTAGAATCTAAATACTAGAATAGAAAAAAGTGCTTGGATTTTGCTTATATATCTTCAGTATGGCCATCTTAGCAAATTTTTTTCCTAGATTCTTAGGTTTTCTAAGTATATAATCTTAGTGGCAGCAAAAAAAAAAACAACAAAGCAAGCCTTATTTTATCTCTTCTTTTCCATTGTTTATGCCAGTTTTTTTTTCCTTACTCACTTTTCATTTGCTAAAATGTTCAACACAGTTGTATAAACAAATAGCAGTGGTAGCTATACTGTGCAGTTATTGATGTTAGTAGAAATATTTTTGGAGTTTTGCTATTTAGGGTTATATTTATCGTTGATGTTTATAAATGGCCTTATTACTCATTTAAGTGCTTTCTATTCCTGTTTTGGGATTTTTAATAGTAATGGCTGCAGTATTATTTCAAATGCCTTTTCTACAACTCTCGCTATATGATTTTTCTCCAATTTGTTGCCTAACAAGCTAAGTTCATACATTTCCTATGTATGAACCACCACAGCCTTCCCCAAAAAGTCCTACATCCCATACATTGCTGGGTTCTATTTCCCGATATTTTACTTAGAATTTGCACATTTCATAATTGATACTAATCTATACATTTTTTATAATCTCTTTGTCAAATTTCAGTGCTGAATGTGCATTAATTTCATGAAAAGAATTGGGATATTTACTTTTTCTGTGGCCTAGCACAGTTTAACATTGGAAGTAACCATTCTTTAAAAGTTACATAAAACTTACCTCTAAACTATCTGGTTTTTATAACTTTTTTCAGCATCTATTATTTATTTGTTTTTAATGGGCAAATAAAAATTTTAAGTATTGTATACAAGATAAAATGCTTTGAAATATGTACATTTTGGAATGGCTAAATTGAACTAATTATCATATGCATTAACTCACATACTTCTTTTTTTTTTTTTCGAACTCACATACTTCTTTGTGGTGAGAACACTTAAATCTTCTCTTAGCAATTTTCAAGAGTACAATACGTTGTTACTAACTCTGCTGTATAGTAAATCTCTTGAACTTATTTCTCCTGTGTAACTGACATTGTGGAGCCTTTGTGGTCTCTACCTTTTCCAATGGTAGATCTCTAAACAACTTTCTAGTTCTCATCATTTCCACAGTAATTGACCTATTGACATTTTCCACTTCTTTTTAGTTCAGGATTAGCAATTTGTATTTTTCTGGGAAAGCGTCCCTATCCACTAGGTTTTCTTTGCCTCTTTTTTTTTGTTTTTCGTTTTTTTTTGCCTTAGAGTTATATGAAGTAATCTCTAATATATCTTCTAATCTCCTGTAATTGTGGTTTAGCCTCTTTTCTTTCTTAAGTGTGTGACAGGTTTATTTTGTCTGTCTAAAGAATCAGTTTTAAAATTCTGTCTACATTTTAAATTTCTGTTTCATTGATTTGAGCTTTTATCTTTATTAATATCCTATTCCTGGTTTCCTTTGGTTTCTTGGTGGTTTGGGCTTATTTTGTGGTTTCTTTTTAATGTGTATTTAGTTCTGTAATTTTTCATCTTTAATGATAAAGACATAAGGCAGTTTAATTTAAGTTCCCTTCAAGTAAAGCTTCATTGTGTCCCCTAATTTTTGATGTATACTTTTTTCATTGTTCTTTTAGATAGTTTGTAATTTCCTTCCTAATTCCTTTTGATCCAAAGTTATCTAGGAATGTGTTTCTTATTTCTAGTATTTCAATGGGATCTTCAAACTACACATACACTATTAGTATTTCCTCCCTTCCTTTCTTCCCACCCTCCCTCATTCAGGGGCTCATGATCAGTGTGAAATAACTGATTTTTTTCTAAGGTAGAGAAATTAGCTGTATTGGTTATTAGCCTGTGTGCCTTTATTGCAGTAAAGAGGGATTTTCTTTGGGCTCTTTGAAGAATTGTAGCTTGCTGCTGGTGCCTGGCTCTCACAGGTCTCTTCCAAGTAAAGAATCACTAAGGCTGTTATATTTTTTTTTTTGCTAAAAGGATCTGTCGAACTCTTCTTTAAAGCTATCATCTTTCTAACTATTTTTATTTCCAAAAAAATAATGGATTCCAAGTAAGTTTTAGAGAATAGGATTTTTTTTTAACTAAGTAAACTACATAAACAGTATAGCATAGAGCAGATGATTCCTGTTGACAAAGGAAAATGCTTTCATAGGCAGTAACATCAGTCTCATGTATTTTGAAGTCAAATGTGTAAAAATGCTCAAATCCTTTTTTCCTCACAGACGGAGTATGCAAGGTTTGAGAATGGCCGATTTGTATACCGAATAAACCGCTCCCCGATGTGTGAATATATGATCAACTTCATCCACAAGCTCAAACACTTACCAGAGAAATATATGATGAACAGTGTTTTGGAAAACTTCACAATTTTATTGGTAACTGTTTCATCTTTTTCATAGTGGGCCTGGGAGGAACCAGCGCCTAGGCTAAGGGAACTGACCAGGCTGTTGGGTTGGGCCCTCGGTGGTCAGTCAGCCTTGACTTCACAACATCCCTAGGGCATGGAAGGTCTCAACTCTGGCTGCAGAGTAAAAAGACCTGGAGAACTTTCTAAAAAATCCTGACACCTAGACTGCAGCCTACATCTGTTAAATGAGGATCTCTGTGCATAGGACCTAGGTACATTGTATTTTTTTTTAAGTTTCTCAGATAATTCCAGTGTTAGCCAAATTTGAGTCTCAGCAGCAATGTTGGCATGCAAGTCATAAATGAGGCAAAAGCTGAGTCAGTAGGTTCATACTTCAAACATACCTTGACTCATTTCATGAAGAATTTACAAAGCCTTATAAGAAATAACATGCATTAAGATAAGACAATATAAGCTCTTAGTACCAGGAGAACTGCAAACTAGAATAGAATGCAGTGACCAGGACCTAGGGAAGGAAATGTTCTGCATAGGCTGAAAAATCTGGTTTAAACTTAATGGGCAGCTAAAGGAAAAGAAAAACAATAGTGTTCAAGGTCTACGGCGGGAAAACACACCAGTGCCCCCAGATAATGCTGTGTGTGTGCGTTTCTGATATTTAACTTTAAAGCAAATTTCTCCTGAGAGCTTCATTTGGGGACTTGGGAAGGTTATTAGAAACAGTGTCATCCTCAAAATATAAAATATGCAGTAATGGGTTTTGTAAGCCTCATTTTAAAAAAATAACATTCTTTAATTAAACTGAAAAAAAAAATGTCAAAACACAACTTGGTCGAAACAATCTTGCTGAAAGGGGCAGCAAGCCTATATTGTGGCCAAATACCCAGCCCTCTGAAAGTCTACCTTATTACCCTTTGCAGTAGGATTAAGAACTAGAATACTTAGAGCAGGAATTCTTTACCTACTGGTTTTTTTGGTTCTATTCAGACAGTGGTTCTCAATCAGTGGTGTGCTGGTTTAAAAAAAAAGAAAAAAAAAACTCTTTCCCAATTCCCCAAAACCTCTGCTTTATACCCTATGACTGTTTCTATGGTGTAAGTATGTCCTCCCTGGGCATTTTCAAGCTACCCATGGTGGTTCAACTCATGAAATTTCTTCATATTTAATAGTAACTTTCATGAGCCAGTAAGAGCCAGCTCTTATACACCACTGTAAAAAAAAAAAAAAAAAGTAAAAACCCTCTGCATATTATATTCATCCAGGAAGCTTTTAAGCAGTGAGCCCTAGCCCCTACCCCATATGAATAAAATCAGAATCCCTGGGGTGGGGCCCAGCATCATGTTTTTTGTTTCGTTTTAAAGGTCTCCCCAGGTAGTTCTAGTGTAGCCAGGTTTATACCACTGCTATAGGGGATTGACAGGTGAGCAGCAGGAAGTTCACATGCTAGTGTACACCTGGCAAACAGATCATCTTGCATATAATTTTTATTTATTCCAGGGAGAGAATCTCAATGGGTTCTCAGATGTGCCCATGTCCCTCTAAAATTTAGAAACCAGTAATCTGGGGGAGAGTTTGGAATGAGTGTTCTTTAATAACTATTCATTAGTACTGTTTTTTTCTAATGATCCTTTGGTGAAAATTGAGCAGTTCAAGGTTTATAGTGCTGGCAGGCAGCAGGTTCTTGTCATCTGGGTGTTTTCTGTTGATTAAACTGAAAAAAAAAATGTCAAAACACAACTTGGTCGAAACAATCTTGCTGAAAGGGACAGCAAGCCTATATTGTGGCCAAATACCCAGCCCTTAAGGACAGATGCATCACCTTAGCACTCAGATGAGTAGAAGGTGAGTGTGATCCTCTTGTGGACTTTCTCAGGAATTAACCAAAACCCTGCGTGGATGGCCACCCTATCTCTCTGGGAGGTTTCCTTAAAAACCATTTCTGAATCTATTTCTGCATGCCAAGGAAGATGTCCTGGTCCCTAAAACTCTACCTTGCGGGACACAGCTGTTATAAATATGCCCTGGAAAAGTGTTAAAGCACCCATTACACACAAAGCCCATGTAAGTAGGGTCATGCACCACTAACAACGTTTGGACAAGGATGGACCACATACATGACGGTGGTCTCATAAGATTATAATGGAGCCGAAAAGTTCCTATCACCTGGTGATGATGTAGTCATCATAATGTAGCATGATTACTTTTTAAAAAAATAAATATAGTATAACCTATAAGTGTACAGTATTTATAAAGTCTACAGTAGTGTACAGTAAGTTCTAGGCCTTGGCATTCATTCACCACTCACTCACTGACTCATCCAGAGCATCTCCTGGTCTGGCAAGTACCGTTTTTTTCTTTTATACCATATTTTAACCGTACTTTTTCTATGTTTAGATACACACAAATGTATCCTTGTGTTGCACTTGCCTACAGTATTCGGTACAATAGCATGTGCTGTATAGGTTTGTAGCCTAGGAGCAATAAGCTAGACCACATAGCCTAGGTGTGTAGCAGGCTAAACCATCCAGGTCTGAATAAGTATACTCTGATGATTGTACAATAAGAAAAATCGCCTAACGACACATTTCTCAGAAAGTATCCTTGTTAAGCAAAACATCCCTGTATATCAGTAACATTCCCTTGGAATATGTGGCTTCAATCAATACAGCCATCCCAAGAACTCTCCAGATTAGATTAATTTCAAAAAAGTGTCATTAAACAACTAAATAAATCTCTTGAAGAATTAATAGCTAGAAATAAATAAATGCTAGAAATAATATTTTAGCTTTAGAAAACCTGAAATTAAGCCAGCACGCCTGAATTATGAAAATAAAATCATTTAAAAGATGAACAGGAGAAGTTGTACTTTTCAGCTCTTCCCAGGAGTGGGAGTGTAGGGACATAGCCACATGTTAGACAGTGTTGGAGGTATTTTACTAGGTACATCAGATGCAAAGCCTGTGTTCCAGACTGTACTGGCTGGTAAACTAGGTTATATGATTTCATCAGGATGACTTAAGAATTGAGCTGAGCCTGTAGTTGTCAGGCCCTGGTGATAGCAACAGAGGGAAGGCAGCAATTAAACCCTGGGCCAAGTATTTCTGTTGTCTTTTGAGGTTATATTTAGACATATAGGCTAATAGAAACTTTTTTTTTCCTTTTCTCCTTTTTAATCTCAATCATGAAGCCTAAGCCAGATACATTTGTCCTTTAGTATCCTTGGGGATTGGTCCTAGGACCCCCTGAGAACACCAAAATCCACTCAAGTCAGATGTTCTGTTCAAGTCCCTTATTTAAAATGCCATAGTATTTGCATATAACATACACACATCCTCCCATATACTTTCAATCATCTCTAGATTACTTATAGAATACCTAATACAATGTAAATGCTATGTAAATAGCTGTTATACTGTATTGTTTATAAAACGTGTATTTTTTTTTATTGGTTTATGTTCCCTAAACATTTTCAATGCACAGTTGGTTGAGTCCACAGATGTAAAAACTGTGGGTATTGGAGAGCCTACTGTATGTTCTTTATAGGAAGTTTGTGAGAAGGTAGAATAGATTGCGGAGGTTCTAGGCACTGAACTAGAACCTTTATAAATGTTCTGTGGAATTCTCACAGCAAAACTGTGAGGTCATTTTTATTCCCATTTTATGGATAAGGAATGTTAGGTCTACCTGAAGTCACAGAGCCAGTGAGAGACATTAATTAAGACTTGAATTGATAGAAAAGACACTTGGCAGTGTGTGTTATAGTCATGAAATCAGAAGACTTAGGTTTAAGACTCTAAGCCTGTGGGCAGCTAATTTAAAAACAAGATGCTTAAGTCTTCACCCTCACCTCAAGGTTATCATTAAGAATGTTTTAATTCATTCAGCTAAACTAGGGAGAGTCACTGCTGGGATGCAGTGTAAGTAAAACACAATGCCAGACACACAGTAAGTAACTCATGGCCCTTCAGGGCAAAAGCGGCAAGTAAATAAAGCCTTGTAAGGTAATGAGGGCCGTGACCACCGTCCTGGGGTCTGAGGCGGGAGGCAGGCATTCCTCGCATCCTCACTAAGTGAATGTGAACGGGAACTCCAGCTGTCTGCTGGAGGGACGTGGTGCCGAGACAGCGTGGAGCAGGAGGATTTGACCTAGTTCAGGGGGAAGCCTGAAGAAGGCTTCCTGAGGAAGAAACGGTTGAGAGATACCTGCCAGGTGAATGGGCAGCAGTTGACCCCTCAGCTCCTTCTCTGTCAAAGGAGAGTAATAAAAGCACCCACTCAGAGCTACTGTAATAACGCATGGGGCGATCTGTAAAGCCTTTAATACCGAGTAGATGTCGTAAGCCCTCGATACGCGTGGGCTATTTTAATGTGAGTTTCATTGATTCAGCAGATATTTATTAAATGGCTATTGAGTGCCATGCCCTAAACTAGTCGCTGCTCCTCAGGAGCTCACATCCCACTGGATGAGGCGGACGTTAAAAGTCTCCTGCACGTCGTCCATACGCGCGTGCGGACCGCCGGGTGCGCCAGTTGTGAGGAAACCAGAAGTGCCGAGAGACTTCCGTCTTCAGGCCTACGGACCGAGGCTCTCAAAGTCGAAACGTCTTCAGACGCTGCTCTGGCCTGATCAGACACAGAAACAACAGAGTCATTGAAGCGTTCTGAGTGATTTGATTAGATTTGCTTTTAGAAAGTTCCCTCTGAGAGTGGCTTGGGAAATGGAGACCAGCGAGAGGCGGGGGGAGGAGGCAGGGCCTGGCGGGAGGGAGCGGCCGTGGCTGGGGCCGGAAAGCCCCGGATCTTCCGGAAAGCTGAGAAGGCAGAGGCGTGGGCATGAGGAAGGGAGGAGAAGGTTCGAGAGGTGCCACTCAGGAAGGGAACCGATGAGTATTTCAGAAGACATTTTGAAAGGTAAAGCCTGTATCAGTGAGAAGAATTGTCGCTTGGCATGATTTTACCTGCCCCGCTGTTCCTTTCCTCGGCCAGTAATGTGCCGAGTGCAGGCAGTGCTGGTGAGCAGGGCACTCGTGGATATCTGTCATGGGCTGTTGTGAAACAAAATTTAGCAAAAGTTTAAGACTAGGATAGGAAAAAGAATAGATTTTAAATGTTCTCACCACAAAGAAGTGTGTGAGGTATTTGTCAATTAAAAAATAAATTTTAAAAGATAGAAGATAATTTCCTAGGATAAGTGATTGTCTTGTAGAACAGAATTATAGAAAATTCTCTTTGTTTTAAAGAAATCCAAAGAAAACCCAAGACCAAAAACACAAACTATACTTATTTTTTGTGGTCTCTTCTTGGGCTCAGATTATGGGTGAGATTTTACCTATCTTGGTAAGGTCTTGGAAGGGATTCAAGTTGTACCTATAGTGTTCTGAATTTGTGTTAGAGGACACAGACCCGCCAGGTGCAGTGGCTCACACCTGTAATCCCAGCACTTTGGGAGGCCAAGGCGGGAGGATCACTTGAGGCCAGGAGTTTGAGAGGACACAGAGTAAGGACGAGCAGATCTCTATTGGACTTACTGGAGTGTTCCTCTCCAATTGAAATTATAGTCGTCATGCACAGATATAACATGTTTTCAAGTGAGTGGTGGTAAATATATGTACCTTTTTTTTTTTATCTTAACAGGTGGTAACAAACAGGGATACACAAGAAACTCTCCTCTGCATGGCCTGTGTATTTGAAGTTTCAAATAGTGAACATGGAGCACAACATCATATTTACAGGCTTGTAAAGGACTGAACATGGTTATTTATATATATAGATATCTGTATATACACACGTATGTGCACACACACACTCTCTCTCCATTATCGAACGACTGACTGTAAACCTCACCACACAGGGTGGTGCCCTGGCCCCCGAGGTCACCCCAACTTTTCTAAATCCTGTTTGAGTGAAGTCATCTTTTCATGTGTTCATACTATCATTGTAGCTGTGAAGTTCTGGTACAGTTGTAAAAAGAGAAATTGAGTTGTTTTTATGTGTTGTTCAGATCTGCAGCCCACAATTCCTCGGGAAAGGTGAACCTTAACAACCCAAGTCTCTCTCTGCAGAGCCCTGTTTCTAATTGTGGTAGAAAATATTGAGACAGAGCGTTTGCCATGGGACATTTACAGCCTTTATACAAATGTATTTAGTTCTCTTTTTTCCAACATAAAATTCTTGTTTTAAGATACAAGTAAAATTAATCTTTAAATATAAATGTAAATTAGTACACAAAACTAAGAATCTTTAGACTTATCTTTGTAACTAATTAGGGTGGAAGTTATGAAAGAATGTAATTCACTAAATTATTTTTTAAATGAAACCTTTCTTTCTTTTTGAAACCAAATGTTAAACTATAGCCTTAAGAAATGCTTGGTAGAAATATCCTAATGAGACAAATTTGTACTTTTTTCCTCAAGGTTAAAACTAATCTCCTAATCCATTAAACTCTTGAACAGGTATTACAAAGGAAGAAAACTTCACCCCTTATCCTTAACATATATAGTATATTTAAAAATATAAAATTGTATTGTACTAATGTGATGATTGATTATTTAATGAAAAAAATGGCTCTTTTTGCAATAAGTAGATAAATACTGAAAAATCTAAACTTACAATGTTTATAGTCTTGTGTGTGCAGTTATATTTTATTATGGACAGCCAAATTTTTTTATTAAGATGAGTAAATATTTGAACCACTGAAATTTAATAATGAAATTTTTAAATTGGCATGAATACTGCACTGTGAGATGCAAAGTATACCAGAATCCTGTGGCTGGGAGAAAATTTCATTGACCAGGCAAGTGAAAGGCTCATCAGTTTCAGCATCTCTGCTCCTTAGAAAATTGTAAGCATCCTCACCAGCCTGTGGATAACTTCTTTATTTCTGGTGACCTGATATGCATATTAACATCTATTTAGTGTCACTCAGTTTGCTTAGGTGCTGACATGTATGTATATCTCAATCTGTGTCTATAGACTTAGGTATATCCTCTCTAAAGACATCCATTTCCTTATCTCTCAGTAAGTCACAGTACTTGTTTGACTTAGTTTTAACAGACCCAATTGTCTATCTCTGACCTTTTCAAACAGGCTCATTTGGAAGCTTCTCTATCTAGGAGAGATTCAATTTTGCAATCCAAATATTCCAAAGCATCACCCAGGCAGAGTTGGTTTGATGTGGCCGCATGTCTCGGGTTATCTCCATAAGAGTTTCCTCTGGGAAAGAATAGAGGGTGCCCCTCCAACTTCTCAGAGGAAAATGATGTTGTTATAAGTGGTAGGAATATGCTAACACAATAGAACATGAAATAAGTTTTGTAACTTGTAAAACATGTCAAGATTTTTTTTTTTTACCAAGCCAGAAAATAAAAACTTAGTTTGACCACATCCAAGTAACTTATACACCCCCTTCCCTGTCCCACCACCTGCTTTGCCCCAGCTTGTACACTGGTCAGTATCTTGTGGTTACGAGCATGAAGGTGTGACTAGCTTGTGGCGAACAGAAAAGCACTGGACTAAGCCTAACCTCTCACACATGCACCACTGGTCACTGGGAAGACTGGAGGAGAATGTGCAGAGCCCTCCCCATTTAGAATGCCCACCCCATACCTAGACCAGCAGGACGGTGCTGCTCTTCCCTCCTGGTTCCAGGCCAGCCTTGGAAGGATTGCCCCTGTCGTCCACTCTGCATCTGGCTTATGGCTTCTTTCATGGTCATCACATTTATAATGACTTCTATTGGATACCCCTCTTGGGGATGTTTCTTTTGTCCCTATTTCCTGCATCTTTCCTCAAGGGAACCCCCATTCCCTCCCAGGACGAGGTCTATAAGACTGGGTACAAATGGCTAAAAGCTAGACCATCCCAACACTTCAGGGGAGAGATTATCTGGTTCATATTCCCACAGGGGAATGGGGCTCTTTGCTGCCAAGAGAGCTCTTGGGATTTATTTTTCAAAGCACAAAAAGTCTGGGACCCTTAGAAGACCAGCTAGAGGACAACTCTGTTGGTTACAGAGAAGGGCACACCCCAGTCTGCTGACCTCACAGAGTCAGCTGGGCCCTCGGATGCTTCACCACCCACATCTTCCTCCTGAATGCGTTTGTAGTTGAATTTTGTGGGCTTACTTGATCCACCTTGAGGATTACTCTTTGCTCTTAAAACATTTCTAAGATTTTTAGAAAGTTTATTTCTTGTTCTTCTAAAGCTTTCTTCAGGACAGATAGTTTCCCTATCTTAACCACCAGTCCAGTTACTCCAAACTCCTGGGCCTCTCTTTTCTCTCCCAAATTAGATCCTTGGGTGGGATTGGCATCATAGCACCTAATCTGAGTCTCCTTCTGGTCCCTCATTCTATATGGCAGTCTTTTCTCTGTGGCTTAAAAGTTTTTTTGTTTTGTTTTGTTTTTGTTTTTTTCTTTTTGACATAAGGTCTTGCTTGCTCTATTGCCCAGTCTGGCTGGAGTACAGTGTCACAGCTCACAGCAACCTCAAACTCCTGGGCTCAAGTGATCCTCCTGGCTCAGCCTCCCGAGTAGCTGGGACTATAGGTGCATGCCACCATGCTCAGCTAATTTTTCTGGTTTTTGTAGAGACAGAATCTCACTCTGTTGCCCAGGTTGGTCTTGAACTCTTGTCCTCAAGTGATCCTCCCACCTCAGCTTTCCAAAGTTCTGGGATGACAGGTATGAGCTACCACATCCGGCCAAACTGTTTAAACCATAAAAAAGCCTTCCTAGAGTCCTGTCTTCACTACTTTTTCAGGTGCTCTGTCTCTTGCTGACCCAGGTTTGTTTCCAGGCCATCTCATGCTCTCACTGCAGAGTTTGGAGGCCAAATTTCCACAGCCTAAACAGGGAAGCACTGAAGAACTGGGCTTGGATCTGTTGGCATTCATTTCCGGCATAGAGACAAATTAAAACCATGACTTCTTCAGAACATGTCCTAAAATCCTAGAATGTCCAAGCTGCCCAAGACCAGGGTTCCTTAACCTTAACACTGTTGACATTTTGGACCAGACCTTTGTTGTGCAGGGCTTGTCCTGGGCACTGTAAGAGGTTTACTAGTACCTGCTCCCTGCCACCTCCAATTTTCACAACCCAAAGTGTCTCTAGACTTGGCCAAACATCCCATGGGGTGCAAAAATCACCCCCAGCCGAGAACCTAGATGATAACAGGTCACAATTGCCATGTTTGAAATTGTTTTCTCTTCTCCTTCACCCTGTGAAAGCTGCTCTCCTACAAGCCTTGTCCATGTTTCTTACTGTTTCAGAACTTCTGTTTCACGACACTCTCTCTTACTACAAGTATTCTTTCGCTCTTCCCTGGGGAAGTTGGGAACAGCTGGTCGCCATCATCCCTGTAATCACACCTGTTTGAAGAGTGTTTCTGATTTGATCTTCATCCCTTAATTTGCTGGGGTAAAAAAGAAAAATAAAACCCCAGCAATTTTCATTATTTTTCATGAGCTCATGGGTGTCATTATCAAACCTTTCATCGTTTCAGTGTATTTCCTCTGGGCTGCTTCTACTTCCTGCCTTATAATCAGCGCTATTTGTAGAATGTATTGAAACCTCTGGAACATTTCGTCTTTAGGGGCGGAGGAGGGGAGGGATCAGTTCCAGAAGAGGGCTCATAGAACTTTCTTGATCTAAAAGACAGCACAATCTACTCTCCTTCATTTTGTAGGCAAGGAAGTTGAGACCTAGAGGGGAGGTGACTTGTCCAGATCACCCCACTGGTCAGTGAGGACTTTTCCGGGGTTCCACTTTAATCCTTGGCCTCCCCTGGTGGGGGCTGTTCTTCGGTGCTCTATGCTTAAATGATCCCTAAGAATGTGTGGGCAGGGTCTGTTCAGAAGGGGGAGACTCAGGACCCCTTGCTAAGGCACAGCATCACCCGCTGCTGCTCCCCACGCTGCAGGGCCACTGACGGCGGCTGTCTGAGGCAGCCACACACACACAGGACAGCTGATGAGCCTTTCCACTTACTCCAGGGACAATTCACCTGCCACAGGCTCCAAGTCAAATTTCTATTTGCTAAGCATCCCGGCAGCAAAGTCCTGCACTCACACCAGCCAAAAAAACAGCCCCTCGTTCCGAGCACTTGGTGTTAAAAGTCCCCAAGTGACTTTTAAACCCAAGTGGTCTTTAGGTTTCAATACTGTGGTGGCTTTAGCAGTTGTTTTTGTACAACCATAAATTATTTAAATCATATGAGATGACAGTCAATTTTACAAACCAGGTACACATTGTATAATTTTGTATATGCTCTGGTACACTATACCTGAACTAACGAAGGGTAGAACTAATTCTGTCTGTTGGTGTTCACACCTGTGACATTAGGAGGATATGTCTGCATTGCTTATTTCTTTATGTTGATGTTTCTGTGGCAAAGCCCTGCACATGTCATTTCTGAAAAGCCTTAAATCTTCAAGATGTTGCATGTAGGGTATGCAGTGCAAAAGGCTGCCTCGGAACTGTGAGCCCTTTTGTAAGCTGGAAGCATTTCTCTTACTACTGTTACTTTTTTAGGAAGTTTTCAATTCAGAGCTGCCAAAGCGTTCCAGTAAGCAGTGCCTTAGTAATACCTTAGTCGTGCCGCCAGCCTTTTCTTACAGCAATTCCTCATGTTCATTTGCAGATTGGCCCACTATTTGAAACAGAGCAAGCAAAAATTGTTTTCATTTTTTTATTTGTTTTTTAAGCCCATTTTTTTCTCCAGTTTTATAGGAAACTGACTTCTTGGTCTAAAATCTGAAACTGAACACAAGTCAGTTCTTTGACCACACTCTGAAATGTGTATACCAAAACAGAAGGTTGCAACTTCGTAGTTTACTATGAAAAGCAAATTGTACTTCTAATGTTGCCTTTGAAATTCATGACCAAATACGTAGCTATTTGTGAATCTTCTGCACTCTAGCATGAAAGTGCCTTTGGTTTGAGATTCCAGCTTAGAAAAGTGCTGCCATAATACGATAATTTGTAGAGAGACCAAAAATATTTTGAGATCACCGTAATGCCTTTGGTTTACCGGGATGAGTAACCAACCACAGGCCTCTGTTCACAAGAGCACGACGTGGTCCCTACCCGCTGCTAGTGTGCCTGCCAGTGGGACCCCCACCACCACTCACCCGGAGCACACTGCAGCAGGAGGGACCCCGGAAACTGTTGTGTTTGTGTGTGCCAGTGACCTGGTGTGTCATTTCATCTTGTCACCCCGCCCTGCATCCGCGTGAGGGAGCTTCCGCACAAACAGCAGAATCTCAGCCGGTGGACAGATATTACAGCTTTCTCCTTCTCCATGTGTTCGTGTCCAGTCTCCGTGGGAGACTTTCTTTTCCATTCAAATGACAGTGCGCACTTAATCTGGTTTACACAGTGATACCATTTTGAAAGTTGGAAGCCTCAAACTGAGATGACAGTGCAGAACAAAAGTGAGTTAGGGTCATTACAATTGAAGTGTTCTCCTTAGGGCAAACATGTGGACTCCGAGTGTTGTGTATGAATGTGCTATGAGAAAACCTCCAAAGAGAGCACCATTCGCAATTTGGCGTTTTCAAAGAATGTTCGTGCCAGCCCTCAAAGGGCCATCTCTTTAAAGTCCGTGATGGCTTTTGTCAAAACCTTGTATAAATTGGGAAAACTCATAGAGGTAAGGAAGAGGAGTGAAAAGGACAAGGAGGCAAAAACACCAGCCAAAAAGAAGCCAGGAAAAAAAAAAAAGATTTTTCTTTGCTAATATAGACTTAAAAATAATATCAGACATCTTTGAAAGTTAGCCTCTGTACTCTTAATATGTATGTTCTGTCTGTCTCTACCTGGTGTCTTTAAGAATACCCTCTCTGGGCTCTGAAGTTTCAGGAGTGATTTCCATCCACTCCAAGTTGTGAGTATGTATAGAAACTTCTGCAAACAAACAAAAACAATCAAATGAAAAGGAAATAGTCTCAGCCCCCAAGTTCTGGTTAGCTGCTTGAATTCCCAGCTCCTTCCCTGCCAGTGCTATACCACAACTTGGAAGAAATTAGTCCAGTGCTTGTGTTCTTGCTTCTCTTTTCAACTGTTACTGTGCTTTGCTTTGAGAGTAGTTCTCTGTCATAAAACTCATTGCTTCTATCGTTGAGGATGAAGGTTTTGTGTTTAAAATGTATTGCATCGCAAAGGGTAGTTTCACTGAAGTCATGCACCATTTAAATAAGATGAAATATTTGTATTTATTGTCCTACTTCCTAAGCCGTAACTTGTTTTTACTCTGTGAATTTGCATTGAATCACTCATAAGCCACACTACATCATTTTAGTATTTGAGACGGCATTTCCGTTCCCTCTCATTCGTCATTATTTGGGGTCAGCTTCCATTAGATTCCACCTCGCTCAGGTTGACTCTTGTGTCTGCCTTCCATGATGAGACTGTTTCCCCTTCCCTGTCTGTAAGAGAGGCTGACAGAATCTGGGTGTGCATCAGTTGGAAACCAGTCTCTGATTTTTCTTTTCCATTAGTCATTTTTTGTGATTAGTTTCACTGTAAATTAGATATTAACTGCACTTCTTTTAAAAACAAACAAAAAAACATCTCCCTGTTACCTCCTTGAAAGATTTACTTCTTGTAAGCCTTTTCAGTAGGCTTATGACTGCAGACAAGGAAAAAAAAAAAAGTAAAAACAAAAACAGTACGTGCCTGAAAAATGACAAAAAAAAATTTTGTAACATTTAAAAAAGAAACCTGAATAGCCTTTAATTCTCTAATATGCTTAAATTTTATGTAAATTGGTTTTTGCCATGTGTGTTTGTTCACATTCTAAATGACTTAATGGGATTCTCACAGTCTGTGTCTTCCTGTTATGTGTATAAATTGGGCTTGTGACGTAAGCGTTCATCTGGTCGGTGGTTCCTTTGATATTGTACTGCTGCTGGGAGTGGGCTGTGGGACCTGCCTCTGGGTAATTGGGTTCCTCTTGGGCAGATTGGAGAGATGGGGGTGGGGGGTGTGCAAATTCTCATGTTTTTCTTAACCTATTTGCAGAAACTTTCAAAAGGCATTTGGTTAAACCTCTTGGCAGTACAGTATTCTTGTATTTGTTAACGTCTGTGTTTAGGTACTGGT